CGTCCCAGTTAGTGGCGCGAATGGCTAGGCCGTTGAACATCGTCAAGACCGCGAGCACGTATCAGCCCAGGCTAGCGTGTGCCGCGTGTGCGCGTTGACATCTGCCAGACACGAGCAACCGATGATCAGCCCAGGTCAGGCTGTGCGCGCAGACGCGTTGACATCATCAAGACAGCGCGCATTGTGATCAGCCCCAGGTAGTGTGCGCGTGCGGTTGCCCCATCTCACGACCAAGCGAGCACGTCGATCAGCTCAGGTACAGTCTGCGCACGCGAAATTGCGACATCTCAGACAGGCGAGGCATAGTGATTTCGAGGCCAGGTCGCTGCGGCGACCGTTGCATCTCAGCAGCCGAGCACGTGAATCAGTGTCCCAGAATGCGCAGGGTGCGTTGACATCTCAGACAGGCGACGCACGGTGATCAGCCGCCAGGGTTAGGTTGCGCGCAATAAGGGCAGTTTGACATCTCAAGAGGCGAAGCCACGGTGACTCAGCCACAGGTAGGATGATGCGCGCGTAGAGCGAGTTGCGTTGACATGCTCAGACGTCAGCGCGTTGACATTCCAGAACAGCGACGCATAGTGATCAGCCCAGGTAGGTGGCCGCTCCCCGTCGCATTGACATCTCAGACACAGCGAGCATGTGATCACCCAGTAAGGTCGCGCATGGCTTGCCACCGATGCCTGGAAGAGGCCGGTGATGTTTAAACATTAGTGGTGCGCACACTGGCGCGGCTGTTGACATCTCCAGACCAGCGAGCATGTGCTCAGCCCCCAGGTAGGTGTGCGCGCGGTCGGAGTGACATCTTAGTTCATCAGACAAGGCGCTACGTGAGAGTCACGATCCCAGAGTAGTGTGCGCGGCGAAGCGTTGACATTTCAGATCCAGACCGAGCATGGTGATTCTAGCCGCATCCAGGTCGCACTGCAGCCCGTGCGCGTCTTTCCATCGCTAGACAGCGAGCATACGTATCAGCCGTAGACGGTAGGCTGTGCGAGCATCGGAGTTCCGGCTCGTCGGGTCGCGAGTATAGTGGTTTATTGTCAAGCGGTAGAGTGGCACGGATCGCGCTGAGGCCGTGGGTTTAGAACGTAGGCGTGGCCCGGAGCGCTTTTATAAGAATCGTTCGATACACCGGGCGGAGTTAAAGTAAATGCGTTCTGTGTCGTAACCCAATGCGTGATTGGATCAGTTCAGGTTTACACGTTAAGGCGTGGCACCGGAACGCCGTGACGTGTGTCGATTAGACGTAGGCGTGGCTATCGGACGCGCTGCGCGCGCTATTAAGACGTATGGCGTGGCACGGACGCGCGCTGGTGTTACGACGTAGCGTGGCACGGACGCGCGTGGCTGTGTTAGACTAGGTCGTGGCACGGACGCGCGCGTGTTAAGACGTAGGGCGTGGCCACGGGACGCTGCGCGTGCTTAGCGTAGGCGCTGTGCACGCCCGCGCGCCGTGTTTTCAGATCGTAGGCGTGGCAGCGGACGCGCGCGTGTGATGTGTCCTGGCACCCCTCGTCGAGTGACGAGACCGCACGATCGCGTTGACGGTCGTCGGTGTAAATTGTTCCCTCTTAAATGTTCACTGGCGAGATGTAATCCCTGTTGTGCGGCTCTGGAAGACGGCAGTGCGGGAGGCGACCACCTTGACGGTTGAGCGGTGATCGTTGCTGTATTAACTTTTTGATAGGCATCGTGTTCGTGCCCATGATGATATGCTGTATTAAACGCTCTTGTGCTCTCAGGCAAATAAATACATGCGGTGACCTCTGCATATGTGTTGTGTATACACCTGAAGCAGTCGATAACACGAGCAACTCGCGCATATATCAGAGCGCGCGCGCATCACTATACAACAGCAATCATGTGCGTGCTTTAAAAATTGATCGACGTCGCTCGTACTGTAATTGAATTGGCGAGCCAATGGCGAGAAGAGAGCCGATGTGCTCGCGAACCATTCGGCTTTTGGCGTGATCAATATAGTGTTGTTATATCGCTGTGGCAGCTCAGATTGAGTAGTGGGGGAGGGGGATATCCGCACTAATCATTGTATTCTTATGCAGTCATATTGACGTACGATTCTGGTCGCTCTGGGTATCTAGGGTTGCTGCAAGTAACCGTCCTTCCTAACCGCGGTGTGTATTCTCGTGCGTTATAGCAATGGTGCTCCATTGGGCTGAAGCATTACGGTAGCTGAATGTGGCGCCAACCTATAGTAGTGTACTTGTGCGATGGTGTGGCAGTCCGTGGTTCTTCGTTTGGCCAGGTATTAGAACAACCGCTAGTAACCATCCTACGGCATAGTAGTGTGTTGTGAGAAACTAGTGTGATACGGGTCCTGGTGGAGCTCAATAGAGGCACTGAAATTGGAATAGGTAGATGTGTGCAGCACAGTACAGCTGTGCGGAGAGCAATCCTCTAAAAGAAATCTTATCGTCCACGAAAATCAGCTGCTAAAGATTACCTACTAGCTGTTGGGCGAAAAGGTCAGATCAGATGACTACATCGAGCTGTTTCTCCACATGAAGCCGTATAAGCCGTCGCCCTGCTCGCTTCGAAAGTCAACTCACTATTGTTGCCTCATCAACCATCCCGCTGCGACGGCCGCGCACACGCAGACGTACACACGCACATACACACTCGGCTCGTGCACAACGTGCTCGCACAAGGCACGTTTGTGCACGCACACACACGCATATGCACGCACGCGCACACATGCACGTACGCACAGCGTTTGCTGACGATCATCGCGAACAGTGACAAATGGCGTTTTCTTTGAAGCGAGTCGTCGTTATCGTGGTCGTTTAAATTGCGTGTGTGGGCACTAATTGAGTCCCTACGAAATACAGAATTTTTCTCCGGGTTGTCGCGACGACGTCGTGAATTGATTAGGATTGACCGCGCTTGTTGAGAGTATATTCCTGCAGTGGAAAGCTGGTAGTGATAGAGTGAAGAAGCTGTCGTCATAACTTATGCTTAGTCGACGTTTATTACAAGACGCAAATACAGAACATATCCTACAAGCATGCAATATGCGTTGTATCCGCAGTAGCAAGATCTACAGCAATGCAAAGTGAAAGAAGCTGTGTGTGTGTGAATGATTACTCCAAGCCTACAGCAATATGCATTGTTTGATCATTTGCTTGTCCTGGAAAATTATATGTAGCCTAGCCTAGTTAGTTGAGAGTTTTACTGAGTGTGGAGTGATTGTAGTGGTTGCATAGTAATTCATGTATACCCTTACTAGTTTACCTGTTTGAAGTAACCTGGCACAACTATTTCAAGCGTGTATGTTTTGACCAGTTGTTGGACTTGAAAATAATAAAATATTTAAATGGTGACTCTAGCAGAGGAGGTGCGGTGAACTAGAATTGAACGAAATCTAATTATTTAATACGTGATGTTTGTGTGCGTTTTTGTTGGCAGATGTAGACATTTCCTCACAATTCCAGTCCCTGTTAAAACGGCGCCAAAGCACGTAGCCCCACGCATGTGATGCTAGCCCCAGAACTAGAAGTGTTGATACAATATCAAATTAATGTGTGCCTGCTTGCAAAATAGAGTTTGTTGTCAATTGCATGTTTTGGGAGTTGGTAGAGAGGAGAATGTGAAAACTCGGATAGGTGGTGGGCGGTGCAGTGAGGAACTGCAAATGATGTTTTTATTAATCTAATGATAGTTGTTTTTTTGTATATAAATATTTAACGCATGACATGGTACCAGCATTGGATGTATCTGCTATAAAAGCATACTAACACCAATTGTAGATTAAATTAGTTATTCGTTGTACGCCCAATAGATCAGCCAATAGAACCAATTTTATAAAGACTTGATATCGGGTAGGACATGCATAAAGGTTTTGAATGTAATTCCGCATTCAAACATTGAGGTTGTGTTGTAAAATTGCATGATGCATGTTGACTTGACTTTAGCTAAACCTGGCTTCGCGCTGACGTGTGATCGCTCCTTTTTTCACGTTCCCAACGTGCGTAAGCAATCCTCGCATTAGCTTGACGACTGGCTGAATATAAAAAAAAAGCTGAGTGCTAAATTCGTGAGTTGTTGCATGGTAGTTGTCGTCGTCGCTCCACGTGAACGTGTGTGTGTGTTGCGTGCTAACACAACCACGTAACATGCACGGCGTCTCCGCCAGCCTGGCCGCGGCCATGGTGATGTGTCTGCGTGAGTTTGAAACTAATGTGGCTTTGCTTGCAGATGTAGAAAGCTTCCGCCCCGCCGCCCCGGTCCTCATTAACACAAGCAGCGGCAAGTCTCAGAAGACCTAACCCGCGCCGTGGCCAAAAACTGACTCGTGCTCGCGGCGTGTCCGCTGAGAAGTCGAAAGGTCAGGCTGGCGACTTCAGCGTAGCCTATCAGCCCGAAATTTGCCTTCGAAGAAGAAGTCGACGACTTCGGTGAGTCGGTCCGAGGCATATAATAAAGGGGGCTCATTGTCGGGCTTGGCGAGCGACTCGACTGAAGCAACTGCCGATTTCGAGTAACTGGAAGCGATCGGCAGCGACTTGTTGCGTCCAGTTGCCCACTGTTCTATTCGCCGAGCAACTAGTGGCGGCCGGTCACAGGCAGTCGCGTTGCAGTCCGACCGACGCTAAGCACTGCAGTCGGCAGTGAAATTGGCAGCCCGGTGTGGTGGGAGGCTGTGAGGTTGCTGTGGTTGGTAGTGTGTGGTGGGAGGCTGTGAGGTTGCTGTGGTTGAGTACATGACCATGGCTGAGAGTTTCGTCTGAGGATCCATTAGTTTGGATTTGATCGGTTTCTTGCTTTATATCTTTCCCCAGGGTTTTAAAGGTGTAATTATAACGTAAGTAGGTTTGCCTCCTTCGTGTCGAACCTGCAATTCTCAAGAACTGAACGGTTGTATTAGTCGCGAGTTTACCATTATTGCTAATCTACTCATAGAATCGGGCAATTTTACGAAGGAAGTGAGCGAGAGACTGGTAATTGAAGGGATTTGCCACTGCTATACTCCCATAGTGCTTTTACAAGTTGCCTCAGCTGAAGCTTACCATATTGTTTTATCTTAAAACTGAGACTAAATAAGATGATTTTAATGGATTCACTGCTTGATAATTGTGTGATGCTGCAGCATATTGCTATATAAATGGAAACAGTCATAGTATTAATAGAAATGTGTGGTAACCCATTCTGTTATTACTTGCTATATGATGGGAGGCGCCATATTGTACTACGTGTGGAATAGTTATAAATCATTTTCTGTTAATTTGGAGCACTAACTAAATTATTATAATAAATATGACAACTCTACTTATTCACCAATTACCCTACAATAGTAATAGCTGGTCTCACGCGGCAGACGGTTTTATAAGTGCCCACTATCTATGTGCATCCTCCTTGGGCTCTGTAACATCATAAAATCTGCCGATCGGATGAGTTTTTTGCGCTTGCCGTCGTTACGCATCATCGTCGTCGTTGGCGCAGCGACGAGGGTATGGATTAGCTCATTCACCGTGTTTTCGTCTCTGTGCTCATTGTAGCTGTCGGACAGCGGTGATGAAGTGCAGATTGAGAACGAGACGCCAGTCGACGAGGAATTACGCGACGATGAGTGAGTGGCGCGCGTCGTATCTGCGCGAACGCGAATAAAAATTTCACTAGCCGCACTTTCGCATTTTTGTCGCAGCGATAACGAAACGATTGGTGCTCCTAATTGCGTATAGGCTGGCTCGCGGTCAGGCCTGGGGCTTGTGTGTTTCCTGCGCGGAGTGTAAACAGGCTTTGACAAGTGATTCCACTCCAGTGGGTGCACGTTGTATGCGGCTATGTTGTAACATGGCTTATTTATCATGAAAGTGTGCGCTGATCTGCCGTGTAAATTGCACGAGAATAACTGTTGATTTGACTGAGTCGACGAACGTGTAGTGTCTGTCATGCAAGGCCAGTGCCAAGCTGCCGTAGTGAAACGCGATGAGATATAAATAGGGTCATCGATATCCTTTGTGTATGACTTGTACACACGTTGATGCGTAACAGCACATTTCGGGCTTAGGAGCATTTTTAGTCTGTCAAATTAGGAGTCTGTTAATATTAAATGATAATTTCATTTCGGAGAGCAAGTACACAGCGCAACGCTGTCTCTGGTCATTATAGTAGCTATTACTGTTCTCTTGGTGGAGAAGATGTGAATTTTGAATCGCTCTGTCATCACTATGTTACATAGGGAGGTTGGAGATCTACCCCCTCCCATACCAACCTCGCCATTGCCCGGCAACGTTAAGACAACTGAAGAGGAGGAGGAGGAGGAGGAGGAGGTGGTTGAGGTGGTAACCGTGCTGGAAAGAAAGCAGGAAGATAAGCGGCAAGACGAAGCAGAAGACAAGGACCTGGAAGAGGAAGAGGAGGAGGATGATAATGCGTTCATCGATGACACAGTCGTGTCGGGTTATTCACACAGGCTTCCAGTTGCATCCTATGAGCCGGAGCGACCTGCAGAAGATTCGCCAAAGGAGAGGCATTTCCCACTAGGGCTTATGGCAGAGCTGCTGTCTAAGCAACAGGTAATGAATGATAGGTCCAGACTTCGAACCATTTAGAGACACAGCATTTTGATAGACATGGAGTTTTATTGCGCAAATTCAAATGCGCGAAGTTTTGATAGACAACTTCATATAGACAGAGTTTTGATACGTAATATATGTGACAATATCTAATTATATGGTATTATAAATACCATACAATATATCTAACGATTGGGAATTAATACCCGATGTTCTAACGTGTGTTTTCTAGGTTCAGCAGTCGGTGGTAGATGGCGCTGTGCGCGTGTCACCGGGGTCGTCGCCCGTGCCACTTCGTGTGCAGCAGAAGACGAGCTCACTGCCAGACACTGGACGAGGTGCAGTAACGATAACCATCCGTACGCATGCCTTCTTCTTTTATGTTCACGCTTTTCAACCTGCCCGAATTCGTCTTGCTGAAACCTTCGCATTGATCTATTTTCAAATGTCCATCTATTACCGAGCAGCACTCTTACTGCGGTACTTTGAGGTGATGATTTCGTTATGGTACGTCTTTGTGTAAATCGGTTTGGCATGATTTATTCTGTCACGGGATTATTGGATGGCAATCATGTGGCGGGTTGTTGTTTTCTGAACGTTTTTCTCACATTATTTTGGGTAAAACACTTGTTTCTGCAAGGCCATTGTTCTCTGCACGAGTGTATAGTTGGAAGCTGCAAGCGAGTAAGACTAGGTGGTAAGACTGATTGAGATTCAACATCTATCAATCCTCGTGTCTCATACGTGTAGGGATAATCTGTTGTACTTTTTGCTTGGCTGTTGGCGTGACACACTTGCATGCTGCCATTATGCTTTTTATATCACTCAAGAAGCTTCCTACAAAATTTCGAAGGCAGTTGTTCTCATACTTGCTGAAAAACGCTCACATTTCAAGGGCTACACAAAAATCATTGCAAACATTTCGTTACAGTCATTTGACTTTGAAAAACCGATTATATTTTAGTAGGCAGCTTTGGATATTGCAAAGTAACTCTATAAACAGGTTGAGATCAATATAAAATCACGATTGACAGATCAAATAAAATAAGATCGGACAGGACAAGACAAGATAAGATAAGTTATCTTATCTTGTCTTGTCCTGTCCAATCTTATATTAAGATAAATCGTAATAACGAGGCTAAAAACTTCTTAAACCTGAAATCATGGTAAACACAGCTATGATAAGATAAGATGAGACAAGACGAGATAAGTGCGTGTGGTAACTGTGATCTACGCGTGTTACCCGCCGACATAGCACAGCACGTACGTTGTGTGCTTGCAGCCAAGCCTCCTCCACCGGCTCGCAGCGTCTCCCTCACTAGCAACTCGCTAGAACGCGGCATGCAGCCGCCGGGCAGCGGCTCCCCGGAGCGTGGCGTGGCGCCACCTGCTGGCCAGTCACCGGCCAAGACGTTTCACGGGCAGCAGGATAGTACGAGCTCACAGGTAAGTTCGTTGTCTCGATCTCACGCACGTCTTGTCTAGGGCCCTCACGTGGGTCTCATAGGTGTTGGTTAGTGCGTGGCGATGGCGCGGGTGTACGTGCGATTATGCCACCTCTCGCTAACAGGCATATAACGTGCTCAAAAAGTGCTGCACATGTGTATCCAGATATAATGTACTGCAACATGATATGCCTGCATATGAGCAGGTATAGGCACCTGTGTATCTGTTTGTTCATTTGCATCTCACTGCCTTGTCTAGGAGGTGAGACACTCGACGTTCCAGGCGCCGACATTGCAGGAGCTGAGATCTGCCAAAGGTCATCACTCACAGGATTCAATCAGCAGCATATCATCACGCGACAGCGGCAACATCATCTTAATATCAAGCAATAAGTTGGAGACCAGTGATACAGTGCCTGCTGCTCCTGGTACGTATGAAGATGTGATAGATGGCATGCGTTGGTGCAGTAGCATATTCATGGTGGATGTGCTTGCGTGTGCGTGTGCGTGTGCGTGTGCGTGTGCGTGTGCGTGTGCGTGCGCGTGTGCGTGTGTGTGCGCGCTCGCGCGTGCGTGCGCGCGTGCGTGTGAGTGCATGAGTGTGCAGATGGGTGGGGTCAATGTGTGCTAGTGTGAAGAGTGGTATGTCTGTGTGTGCACGTATGGTGTCTCGTATTATCACACGTTATTGACCGGTTGAGGTTAATGTTGTAATTTCTGGATTCGGAATATAGAATTTTTGCATTCTGGTGCTTGATGTATTAGTTTATTGAACACCAGTTCATCAACAATGTTAACGTAGCCAACGTTCAAGATTCCTTATCTATAATAATAGGCTTCACTTATTGTTGCGTGTGAACACTAAGATTGATGGCTTTTCACCATGTGTACTAGCTGATGATAACAATGGGTTATTCTTAGCGTATATTATTGACCTTGCTGTTTCTATAGCAGGCATGATACCGACCGCGCAAGGAGTGATAGCTGGAGGGATGCTCAACATGTCTGAGTATAGTGGTAGTGGCAGCCGAAGCTACGCCGGTCGTGATGCTGTGAGTACACACATATACTGCTTACGTGTAGTAGTTCTCTGGTATTCGATGTTTGAATAATTTTTAGCTCATCTGACGTAGTCAAATGCAGCTTGTAGATTCGCATGATCGTGCGTCCGTCCGTTCGTCAACAGTTGGGCACAAATCTTAACCGCTCGACGTACGATCACGATATTCGGGACGTGGGGGGGGGGGAGTCGTGAAAAGGACTCAGGATGACAAATTTGAGGGGGTCAAGGGTCAAAGGTCAAGATGTGTAAACGGAGGGGGAATATTTCCCCTTAACTTAAGGTATAGGAGGAAATACGGAATTGCGGCACAAATCTTAATGGCTCGACCTATGCTCTTAATATTCGGTGTATAGTGTGATGGGCAGGAAACCCATCACCAGTGAGAAATTGGAGGTCACAGGTCAAAGGGGAGTGGGGGAAAGGTCAGATATTAGACATTTTCTGAGGACATGGCCTAATGGGCAGAGTGAAAAACTTTTTTTTTTCAGCGCTGACCTACCATTTTTATCACTTTATTGAAAGGGCCATGAAATGTGCTTTCCACTGACGTGCGAAGAGTAAGTGTCTGATAACCTTTTGACCCTCAAGAGGAGGGTTAAACATGGATTCTTGAACTGCCTCAATGACGTCACAGTGTTGTCATATTCATGGCACATCCATAATCTAGAAACCCAATAAGCCTGGATAGCCGAACGCGTACAGCACAGGTGTCACGGCTCAAAGGTCAGAGCCGGTTCCAGGGCTGAGGCTAGACAGTATTTTTCCAGATTTAAAGGGCACATCGCCCAAAACGGGCACACCACCCCACAGTGAGCGCAAAATTTCGAAGGGCACTTTGAAATCTAGACCGTATTTCCCAATACGGCAAATACTGTCTGAATCCGCCCCTGAAGGTCGTTGGATCGAATACCATCTGTTTTTTTATTATTTACCTGTTTTCTGTATTTTTCTATCTTTATCCATTTAACTATTTTTTTCCAATTAATGCAAATATTTACATGATTTATACAACAATTTAATAACAACAAATAATGTTTACAACAATTAATTTTTTTAAAGGACCATGAAATCTACTTTTTGCTGATGTGCGAAGAGTAAGTGTATGATAATGATGTGTAAGTGGCTTCGTGAGAATAACAGCTATACCTCTTAAGCGCCGTCACCTTGCCCTAACAGCGACACGTGTCCTCTCTCATTAACAGGATCGTAAGAGTCACAACTGGACGACGTGTAAGGTCACTGACTGGTCAGTGGCGCAGGTGTGCCAGTGGCTTATGGCTCTTGAGCTGGAGCAATACATCCCCGAGTTCAGTGGGAAAAATGTAGATGGAAATCAGCTCCTGATGCTGGACAGCTCCAAACTAAAGGTCAGCATCGTATGACGGTCACCTTGTACTTACTTCCTGTCATTAAACATGCTTGCCAACCACAAAGAGTAGGCAGCATGTGTAATATTACTAGTTTGTGGTAAATTGCAGTAAAGATCGGATTGGATATTACTAAAAGTGAAACTGTGAGTTGGCATTGAAAAGGAAACTGTAGATATCACACCCATACTACGTCAATGAAAATACAATTTGAGAATCGTCTTTCGCCGCAGTTAATGGTGGTTAACTGGTGTGACTCTGCCATTTCCGGCATCGCAGACTTGCAAATACAAATGACTGTTTATAGCATTCGTTTGGATGGCTCTGCTTTCTGGGCAAAAAGCTCAGAATAAACGGTGATCCTAAACAATTTTATGTGCCCGGCATACATACATGTGAAATTACAATTGCAAGTAAATTGCATGGTGATGACACGATTGATGTGGGGAGGCATCATTAACGTTTGATGTTTTAATGGGATTATTACCAATTATCAGTAAGCGATCATTTCCTTCCCCCTACATGATGTTTCTTCCCTCCTCCTGCTATCTCATAATTCTATCTACCTCTTAGTCACTCATACCTTTCTCTTACCTAACCTGTCTTCCCATCCCCACCTAAACAGTTCCATACGTCCTTCCCCTGCCCATATTTTTCTCGTCGCTTTTACCCAAAAATCTTCATCCTATCCATTCATCCTCCCCCTGGTGCCAAATTCCCCTCCTCCACTTACCAGCCCACTACCGCACCCTCGGGTTATTAATCACCTTAATCCTCAGTTACTCCACCTCCAAGCTCACCACTTATTCTTTCCCAGCTAGTCTCCTACCCTTCCCTGCTCATTAACTACCACCACCGAGCTCACCTCCTACTGCTTCCAGCTCGACAGCTACCACTCATTCCTGCCCTTTGCTTACCTTCGCTATGAATATACCCATGTCACGAGACCACCATCGTTGTACCCCCTGCCACAGTCTTTCCCCGAAAGACCCCTGTGTTCCTTGTCTGATACAATCTTCCCATACTCACACGCGATAGCCACCTCCTTCCATTAGCTTCCTCACTCCTCCCTCTCCATCATGTTTACTGTTATTACTGATAACACGGCTGTTATTGCCTATTTGCGACTTCATCGGCCTATTCAACGTGATAATCATTGTTGCCGTCGACTGAGGTTTTTTTTGCGCAGTCGACCCTTTTGAAACTGCGCACTACACGCGCGAGGATGAAATCAATACGGATTTCTATGGCATTGAGACGTCGCTGCTTTACTTTTCTTATCATCGCGACATGCTTACTGGGAAATCTCATCGCATTACCGGCAGTGTAGTGCGGCGATTAGGTAGACGTGTGTGAACGTTGTGCTCGTGCTCCGGCATGCTGCGGCTTGTATGGCTTCAGTGTTACGATATGAAGCTTGCGACATGTGAAGCTAATTTCCACCAATTGTCGTCACCGTCGAGTACAGCACGCCACTTGAGAAAATTCGGCATCCGTCACGAATACGTTTAAAGAAAGTTATCGAACTCAAATTTAGTGTGGCCGACGTGGTTAGGGAGGTGTTCCGTTGGAAATCGGTGTATTTGGGGGGTGTATTGGTCTTCGCAAAATCCATAGTAGAACTCATGTGAGGCAGGTCGTTCATTACAGAGTCTTGATGCTATAAGAAGGGCTGCGTTGTAAGGATGGGTGGTTTGATAAGAGACTACAGCTGAAGGGTGTAGAGGGGGGAGGCAGACTCAGCTTGATCTACTGTAGAACTCATTAAGGCAGGTCGTTCATTACAGAGTCTTGATGTTATAAGAAGGGATGCGTTGTAAGGATGGGTGGTTTGATAAGAGGCTACAGCTGAAGGGTGTAGAGGAGGAGGCAGATTCAGCTTGATCTACTGTAGAACTCATGTGCGGCTGCTCGTTCATTACAGAGTCTTGGTGTGACGGACAGCAACGACCGCGCGAAGCTGAAGAAGAGGATCAAGGATGTGCGGGCCGGCTTCGAGAAGGAGAAAAAGCGCGAGGAGAAGGAGCAGAAGGCGCGCGAAAAACAGATGAAGAAGCAGGGCAGGAAGACGACGGCAAAGTGTTAGCAGCCGATGATAACCCTGGTCGCACACCTTTGTACAGAGACGCACGGCGAGTCAGTGTCGGGGGTTGATTTGTTTGTGCCAGATCGAATCAAGGGCTGAACACAGCAGAGCCACCGGGAGGAGCGCGTGGCTGGCTGTACGAACCCTATGCAAGAATATTTTGCTACAAAATTTATTTATTAAGTGTATACGTGCGTGTGGTGATGTGTTCTGCTATCGCGTAGAAGTAACCGGAGAAACTCCGTTGTTCGTGTGGTCGGGAGATTGAGAATTTGCAGGTGCAACTATGAGACCAGTGCAGTGGGGCGTGTAAAAATCCCCAATAACCCCCCATGTGTGCACATTTATTTTGCTCTAATGGCGGATGTAGGGAAAAGTTTGCTAACGATTAAAATCACAGAGTATTTTCCTCGTAGATATTAAGAAGGGAAAACGGACGACGTTTTTTCAGACGATATCATTTTCTACGATTCCGGTGCTGTCCCTTAGTTACGATGTCTGCGGTGAGCGGGAGGGGGGGGGGTCTGACACCGACGGTTACGGTGGGTAGGCGACTAAGGAGCTGGAGTGGAGGCGGGTGCAGTCAGATCCCCCAAGCTGTACGAGTTGTCACCAGGTGTTTGGGCCGCGCGTGGCGGTGCGATTGCAGATATTTTCTCCCCCTTTGTAAATAATTTTTTGCGTGGTAGTGCATGCTTGTAAAGTATTGCTGGCTCGGAGTTACGCTGAGAATCGCCAGGGCGAGTGGCTCGCCGGCTGACTGACCCTGGTGGGGGTGTGTAGTAGGATTCCGGCGTCTGTCGTGATGGGGGAATCCGACCGGATTACGCCGTAGAAAATGTTGCAAAATGTTGTACGAATGTTGGCGTCGACACGATGATTTCATTGCCTCGGCTTTAACGCATTGCGGGGCACAGAACAGCCGAGCTATTTATAACTACAGACACGTTGCGTCTGTGACTGCGCGGAACGTTAGGGATGTTCTTCCGTGAATGCGACGCGTGGATGCTGCTACGCCTCGATGACGTACATCTCTCTCTCTCTCGATTCGTCGTCTCTCACTGGCTCGGTGATATGTAAATCGCTCGTTGTCTCACAAGAACGGTATCTGGCCGACGAAAAGCTGACAATGGCTTTTTTTGCGGTAGACGACTCCCGCGCGCTGTGTCGGGTTACTCAATGTTTTGCCCGTATGAAATGCTGAAGTTATTGCGTGTTTCTCTCATGCATGGGTACGGCGCTGGTAATTTGTCGTGTTGGCACATCCACGCTCACACTTGCAGTCAATTACTTGTGGGGCGGGCGTTGTCGGTTGTGCGATCTCTGTTACACACAGCACACCCTGCATGTTATAGATCACCGGTTTTTATTGCGCCCATCACGGCATGATTAAAATTAATTAGTGAATTAATAACATCGCAACTTCGAAGTCGATATTTCGTTAAAAAAATGTGAGCGTCTGCAGCAGCAGGCGCTCTCCTTCCCGCACACGTCACTCACCTCCGGACGCAAACAAACCGGGAGCCACACAGAAAGGAGGTACGGCGCACGGGACTGACGGGAGTGTTTCCCTGTCTGTAATCCAAGTCCCGTCTCCGGGTCCTTTATCTGTCAGACTGTGCGGGAGGCGGACATTAACGAGCAGTTAAAGTGATGAGTCGCTGTTGGTTGCGCAAGTGTTGGAATTAATTACTCATGCATCTACTTATCTGCCTATTCTTCGAGTTGGAGTCGAACTCACGAGAAAGTGAGCTATAGCCCTGTAGCATGCCCGAGAATACGAAAGAACTCTAGGCACGTGAATGTCGTCATAGCTGAAACTCTGCACTACCTTTTAATGAGAGCCCTTTGGTATCGTGACGATCTATTCACAGGTAGGCCTTTTCAGCCCGATCAGCTTTTTCTACTAATTTGATGAAATCGTACGGTGGCGGCGTTTTGTACAGTGACTAGTGGCATGCGTTTTATAGGTTATTTTTTACTCAAGCATGCTAGACCTTTTATAGATTCTCTCACGGCCGATGTTTTGCCCATATCCACTGGGCCGTACCGACTATATGGGGCATGACGAAATGTGAGGCTCTCTCTCGCTCTCCCGCGCGCGCTCCCTGTATTTCCCTTCTATTCCTTGTTCTTCCTCCTCTGTATATGATCTCTGTGGCGCTGTACGTCCTTGTTCCTCCCTAGCTGTTCCTACCGCCTCTTGATCTCTGCCCCTTTATCTGTCCTCTCTCTTTGCTCTTTCTTACCCCCCTCTTACACACACACACACACACACACACACACTCGCCCTCTTTTCTCTCTTTCTCATTCCCCATCCTCTTGCCCCGCTCTCGTTTTCTGCTCTCTCTCTCTCTCTCTCTCTCTCTCTCTCTCTCTCTCTCTCTCTCTCTCTCTCTCTCTCTCTCTCTCTCTCTCTCTCTCTCTCTCTCTCTCTCTCTCTCTCTCTCTCGCTCGCTCTTTCTCTCTCTCTCTCTCTTTCTCTCTCACTCTCTCTCTCTCACTCTCTCTCTCTCACTCTCTCTCTCTCTCTATCCCCGCTCCCTCCTATTGTGAAGGTACTGTCGTCGGCACTCCGATGTGTAGGGCGTAGCAACGGGTGTAGTCAGTGGTACTGTCAGTCTTGTCGATTGAAAAACTGTTGTTTGTGGGCCCTGCGCACGGTGAGGCTATAACCATGACTTGACATCGTGGGCATCTATCCCAGTAATAGGTACTGCAGCGCGTAGCCTTCGCTGCCTGACCAAGTGCAATGAAGATTGTAATAACTAGAGCTGGTACCAACCCAGGCGTGACGCCGACGCCGAGTACCGTGGATTCTAGACACAATAATGTAACCCAACACAAGAGAAGACAAGAGAAGTCTACTCCCGTGTTGGGTTATATTATTGTATCTACGTTGATCCCTGCGTTGAATGTCCACCCGGCCGATCGCACTCTGCTCTGCTGCCGGGTCCCTCTGTAGACTGAATTCAGAGTTCTGGCTGCCGGCACGACAGCGAGTACGAACGAGTTATTTAGGGAGTCTTTTCTGTATATAAAGCGGTGCTTGTCCGCTGCCAGGTCGAACAATGTAGCGTGTGGTCACGCCACGGCACGCTCACCCTACATGATGCGCGCGCGTGCATATAGCGAGTGTCGCGCTACGCAGCACACATGTTACGCGCTCCGACGACACGAGCCATGGTGATGAACCATGAACCCTGTGTTGACATGCCATACTGGACATCGTCATGACCTTACCATGTCCATCATCGCTGTACCATACCGTGATGCTGACGAGAAGCTTTTTTAGTGTAGTGTTCGCAAAGGACATGCGCCGGTGGTGCGAAGGCAGTGCATGCGTGCGTGTGTGTGGTACTCGCGCGCGTGCATGGATTGTGTTATAAGTGTGTAAGTCATGTAAAGTCGTGTCAAATCATACGAAAACCTCTTCACAGCTGTAAATTGCAATTTTGTGAAATTTGACACTAGCAGCTGACCGACCCACTAGAGAATGCTGCATTATACTGTTATTATAGGTCGTAGAACTCATTCAATTTCACAACTTGCCACCAATACGATATAGGAAGTATAGGATTCTATTTTATTTAACGATACAGCACGATATGCTTCCAATACCACTTACAAGGTTATGTTTTCGACCAGGTGTAAAAATCATGACGACTGATAACAATTAATAATATTTGTATCTTGCTGGTAACTATTATAATTGTGATGATGACATTGTTAAATAGAACTGGGAACATATTGTTTCAAGAAGCAAGAAACTTCTTTTAAAACTATGTATTTGTTTTTGTTTATGATATCTTGTTGTAGGTAGATATGTTAGTTTTGTGCGCGTTTCCCAAGCTATGACACACGTATGGGAGCACTTGCTCCACGTTACATCGTCGCAACTAGTGAGAGTATGTCCTCCATAGTGTCCGGGCACTTCTTAATAGTGCCACAGCACTCCAGTAGTCTCGCAGGACTCATTCCCTAATTTCCTAATGTCCCGAATTTCAGTAAACGTAGTTAATTGTCAGAAGAAATTAAAGTAAGTATGCGTTATTATGAGCGTACCTAAGCTAAACTTACAAAGCTAAACATAAAAAGACGCCGTTTAAACTTTAGTCAAAAATTAACATCTCCTTGCCTACTTAATTTCTCCTCCCGCTTTCTTAGAACTCATCCACGTCCCGCCCATCTCCTCTTGCATTTGCTTTGCCACAACTGTCACCTTCGTTTTGAATCGGTTATATTCAGACGTGCATTTCATTTGGCGGAACTCAAGAAGAAGGGCTACACCTGGAGGGAAATGGAGGGGAAGGCGACCAACCGAGCGACATGGCGGGAGTTCACAAATGACCTGTGTCTCCCATGAGACTGAAGGATTTCTACTCTACTGTATTGTATTTTATCGTACAAACCCAAAAAACGACCCTGCTGTAAAAGATGCTGACACGACGGTCAACACGGAGACGGGGTGAACATGAGCTCGAATTACACGATTTGGGGGCGCGAGCAGCAATCGGACGACAACTGGGTGACGTCATGACTACTAACCGCGTGCAACAGCGGCCTATAAAAATTGCGCGTTTATGGGGCGCTGCGTGCAGTGAAGCGGCAGAGCCGTATATAGACGGCTCTATCTACGTATATACGGTATATCTCTATATACGGCTCAGTTAAACGGACTAACCACACACCGTCGCGGTGTCGCCTACGTTCTCACACGCCGTCATCGTCCTCATCTGTACAGATATGGCATCGATACATGCACCTCGTTAACTTATTGCTTTCACTCTACAGTATAATCATCAATAGCGTTGTAGCCATGCTAGACAACTAATTTGTGATTGTTAGTACAGCCGATTTGTATCCGAGTTACCCGGGGAGTTGCCCGGGATAGAATATTTGATTGGATACAAATAAAGGCGGTTATGTAACACCACTAGCGGTATTATTGCATGAAATCCAATCTATATAGATATATCCACATATGATATTGGATATAATATTATATATATCAGGAGTAGATAATAGGTTATCTACTCCTGATATATATATATATATGTATATATATATATATATATATATATATATAACAGAACACGCTGGACTTTGTATAAAGATGCTTATAACGAGGGGCACAGGTCGGTGGAGCGATAGGTAACATCAGCGTAATCGCTATGAGCGCGTGACGAATGCTGTATTACATTTTTTACACGTACAAGTGTAATTAAGTCTTTACATCCAATCACATGGTAACTTTTCGCCTGGTTCACTAATGCAGACATGTAGCAGCACAATGAAATACCATCAGATCCTGCTGTGTGTAATCGTTGAAAAACTAGTCTGATATAAACTATTGCGTGGGGTTATTGTTGTTTGATGTTTACGGCCCAATAATGGTTAGCAGTATTTTATGGGAAATTTTGCATCACATATATATATACTTGCCATGAGAAACCACATGATATGCATGAACACAATAAACATTTTCTGTACACTGCAGTCTGCATTCGACGGAGCGGCCGTCGGAAATCGCAACATCGAAAACATGTGAAATCAGGTATTCAATATTCTCTGGAAGATGTTACTTTATAACAACTCACACGATATTTAGGGATCTCACACTATGCATAAACAGAACTCAATAGAGTGTGCCGCTACTTGGCGTGAGTAAGTTACACATTTCTTAGACAACGCTATTGATAGAACGTAGGCCTATCCACTTAGGTACAAAGAGTTACGAATGAATTAAAACATATACGTACACAGATGAGGATGCAGTTATTTGTGATGCTAATATGGTTCTTTCAATAGTACTAAAACGTGTAAAATTGGTAATTAAACGCCTTCCTAAATTAATAATGATTAGGTTTTCATTGTTTCCGTTCGGGTTTGTCTGCATGTGTTCTATAAACGCTAACAGTAGCCTACACGTACATAATAGTTTACTGTGATATTGTAGTCTTCGAAATCGATCGTTGCCGGCTCATCAATATTTATGTTTTTTCATAAAACCTTCGTCTATTACGTTTCGCTTTCCATATTCTATAAAGCATAACACGAAGCGGTGCACTTGAACATAACGATTCCAGTTGCGAAATTCAATTAGAAATGTTGAAACTTCATTTATGGCTATCGTCCGGTTTGAAGCTCCTGTATTTGCAATAGCAGAGCTGGCACGCATTTACAGGACGCCTGTCTAAGTCTAAGTCTTCGTCTTCGTAAAGGTCGAATGCTCCCGGTTTAACCTGACCTATCCCTGCATTTTTATTACACTAGGGCCTATACATATATATATCTGATCCCGCAAATCAGTCATTTGCATATTTATCGCATAGCGACAGCATCTGACGTACACTACTAAAAATGGCATAGTTGGTCATCGAAATGTAAGCGGCTATTATCCCTATCTAAAATTATTACGCGAATGGGGTATTTCACACGATTACTGAATTATTGCATGTATCGCTAGCGGCCAGCTGCTCTTCCAGCTTACACGCACTGATTGACACCAACCATATATCTACTTACGTACCTACATTTTGTGCAATGATGAGTCATTCTGCACACGCGCAGCTAACCAGGCCAGGCCGTAAAGTATACTGCAAATGAATTTATAAACCAGTGCAATGTTAGAGAAGGGAAATTATATTCAATTGATACGAACCACTCACTTTTTGCATTGCAAGAAGAGAAAATATATAGTGCGCCCCTCAACAAGATGCGCCGGTAATATTATGATTCAATGGACGTTCCCGCTTTTACATCAATCTATGGTTCACCCCCTATGTTTGCCAAATCCTATACGACGACTATCTTATTTCTTATTTTAAATATGACGGATGTTACATATATCGCGCCCTATATGTTTTTTAGGACTTTTAAGGATTTTAGCAAAATGAACTATGTTACAATTTTGCAGCAGTTTTACGATGATTCCTTTCAAACTAAAACGTCAAAATATATGCAGCGGGAGGTAGTCGGAACAGCCATGGTGGAGTTCAGGGCACGCGGCGGAGATAGCTAGTGTACTCTCTTCGTTTTCAAGGACGATTTCTACTAGAATTTAACGATTTTCTTCTTTGAGGTAAGTGTAGTAGTGCTCAAGTATACATATAACCAGATGACGTAAACGTTTCTGCGTTATATGCATGGTATATTGTGAAATTGTGATCCTATTTCAACGTAAGCGATTTCCCGTGCATGTTGTGCGATCGTGCTGTATTTCCTGTGGCAGGTCCTTTGTTTGGAAAACTCCACGTAGCAGTTCGGAATGTAGCGCATCCAGAGACGATTGGTCTTTGTTATTTCTCGTCTGTATATGTGTAAGATTCTTTATTGCTTTTACGTTATTCTTTCACCTTTATGATATAGCTTCAATAGTTCCTGCGTATGATAGTGTTCGAATGTAGAATCATTTGCCTTCGCCAAGGCAAATCTAAGTACTAAGGCTCAGTTTCTAGTAGCCTACTAGTACTACTACTAGTAGTAGTTCTCTAGTCGAGGGATGGAAACTAGAAAACGTTGGTCAGTGCTCCTCAGTTACAGCTTACTAAGCATATTATTCTATGTTTGTACTTACTGCCCCGAGTGGTTGTGTAGGCCTATATAAGTATAAATGCGTTTTATCCATCTTCTTTTCATCTAACCTGTCATTGCAAGTCATGTAAATAACTAGGTCTCGTCTACTGTAAAAGGATTGTAAATTTTCTACGTGAAAGCAAAACACAGCAGCAAGTTTCAATGTCATATGAGGAAGTAGTTGCAGAGTGTAGTGCATCGATTATTTTTGTGTTTCTACATGTAAGAGGCCAGTATAATGAAGTGACCAATGTGAAAGGCCAGTCATTGAATAATTAGTCATCGTCGAGTGTATATAGGTCAGGACTGTATAGGTAGGTAAACGTCTACGTTAATATTATAGGGTAGAGATTGTGAACATGAATGATAATTAGTGGGATATGTGACATAATTACTAATAACTGCATTTAAATTTTGGTTGTGGTATTTGTTTGATTTCGAGTATAATACTAATAGGGTTATGTCTGCAGTATTTATTTCTATGTGAAGGCAAGAACAATCATAGTCCCATGTAGCTCTGCATTTATAGGTAACCTACTTGAAAAAAATATTTGGCTATGTATCAAAGTTCATAACCACCTCAGATAAATGTACAACTACAGAGTCTACACTTAATTATCCTATCCAATATGAGTTAAGTTACAAATGTTTTGCATATGACATGAAAGTAAGTACTAGTAGAACTAATCATATGTTATGCAAGCCTGTATTACACTTAGTGTGCATGTAGAAATAACTTTAAAATAAATAATAAATAAATACCAAATTTGGGATAAAACCTCTGGCCTACTACTTTATGTGAACATATACTACCACTTACACATATACATTGATTAAATCAGTGTGCACTGTCTGAGTTGACATGTTACCTGTCTGTGGTATTTGAAGTCATTTGGTGGTGGCTTCTACATTTTTATTGCAAGTATGCATTCACTGTGGCCCCATGGTCTAAAGAAGCATGCAGACTACCTGCATTAATTAGGTAATGTGCTTTGTAGAAGTTCAGGCACTATATATATTCTGGTAAATTCTGAAGAGAGACAACAAAAACAAGCGTTGTCACCCCATGCTTAGAAGCAGTGTGAAAACTGTAACATACGATGTCTCGATTTTACCCATTTCTAGTGAGTATGTTTACCATCCTCACCTAGGTACATAGACCAGCATCAGTGATGATGGCAAGCACGTCCCGTGGGTCCGGAGAGTCTAGCCGAGGTGGCAAGGGCAAGGGAAAAACCGTGGAAAAGGTTAACAACAAGGCTATGTCCACCAGTGCTAAACGGTAGGTGTAATGTATGGTGTACGCCATGTAGGAGATAAACTATATGTTTACCTATACTATTGTTTAATTTAGGAGTGTGTGTCTGTATGCATATTAGGTGTACTCCTTTTGGATGTTTGCATGTGGGGGGGGGTTCGTGAATGTGTTCATTCATGTGTGTGCGTGTGGGCATTTTAAAAGCATGCTGACTTCGTATGCGTTTGCTGTGATAGAAATTAACTGGATGTGCGAGCTAGCCAAGGTGTAGAATTTGGAATCTAGAATATTAATCACTTAGTGTTACTATGTGCATGGTATGAATTTGGTAGGTTGTACTGTGTGTACTCTTGGGTAAAAACGTCTATTAATTTTATACAAGCGATGCATATGTTTCATGCTATTGTAACGTTGAATTATATTTGAATGCATAAAAGATGATATAGAAATACAAACTTGTGTGGTAACCTGAATAAACTTTAATATATGCTCGCACACGGTGTGTCCATCTTGCACAAATGGACAAAGAAACGCGCGTAAGCACGTGTGCTCAGTCTCGCAATCACAACCAACTCCTACATCTCTGTCTCCCCCCTCTCTCTAATCTCTCTTCTATATATTACCCCCAAAACCCCTACATTCTGAGCGCACATGTCACCCGTTATCCCAGACCGCGTCCTACCTCCATTTCACAATGACCTTAGAAACGCCCGACCTAAAACACGTTTACAATTCTCCCTATAACATCAATGTAGCTGCAACAAGATGCGCGACGCTGTGTCTAGATAGACTATTACTAAGACAACCCCTAGTCTAGCTCCACTGACTAATTCATGCAACATTTGTAAAACATATGTTACACTATATTGTATGAATACACTGTCAAATCTGTGTATTTATATATGCGAGTCTCATATGGAGACAGGGAATATAATACTAGTTTGCATTGTAATGGATGGAAGCCAGCTGTGAAGCTTCTAGCTATCTACTATATTTGCATACTGCTATTCTCCTTATATCTTGTTATCTATCCCCTCTCTCTATAATGTTCTTTATAGTGTTATTACTTTGTATATCATAGTGTATTATTGCATCCGAGTAAATCATTTAAAAGTACAATGTAATAAGGTGCTGGTGGTGAACTTCATTGTACACCTTTTATGTACTTATTTATGCTCAAGCAGACATAACCGTCAATGCCGTTTTACGAATGTACATGGCATTATTTACCAACACATCTTGGGTTTTTTGGCAGCTTGTGTGTGGGTGACTGGGTGTGAAGTGCTGCTGACGTAGTGGGTGACTGGGTGTGAAGTGCTGCTGACGTAGTGGGTCACCTCGTATCATATTTTACAATGTTCACATTCCCAAAAATTTGTGAACTTTCTAAAACAACTAGAATCATATTCAAAATGTTATTATAATAGTCTGTGTAAGCAAGCTTTACAGATGCTTTACACGAACTGTAGTCATTTAACGATTCAGTCGTACTGCTCTGTGTTAGGGTCTTGCTTAATAACATCAGAAGAGTTCATTACGCCATCATTATGCCATTACGTTCAATTCAAATGTCCAGGACTACTGCAAATGAACCGAACAACGTGTGTCTGTATTATGTTCTGCATAGCTTCGGCTGTTTCTCGTGGGAATGAGAGCGAGAACCATGTGATCATAATAGTTATTAAGTAATTACATGATCGCATTTCGACTCGTTATTAACAGTGAACCCCTATTATGCTCATGAAATTTTTTACTAGAAATGCTGGTAAAATCGATTCCAAGCTCATGTTTCTATAATGCTGTGGCATCATTTATCCTTTTCTCTTTCCAAGTAGATGTAAGCTGTAGCTTTTACTGAGGGGAGCGTGCTGATTTCACGAGGGTGGCGATTTCATGCACTACTAAAACCACAAGGGATTAGAAAATGTACAAACATATAATTGTGTCACACAGTGAGGATGATTACGAAGTGTTTCTAAATATATATATAAGGTAGAAACAAGGCATCGTAGTCGTTGAGTCAGTCTTCCAAGCCAATGCTTTGGGGCTAACCTCGGCAAATGTTACAGAATTGAATGTGGGGATAGCTAGTTATTTGAAATTTAGGACAGCATGCGGGTTTTGGATATGCGGTAAGCTTGTGTACGTGTTTGCGTGCGTGCGTGCGTGTTATCATGCATATATTCAAAAGCTAATAATGCAGATAATAAACGTTATTAGCTCTTCATCTCACCCAGTGGAATCCGTGGTCAGCAGGAACATTGTATAAGAGAGCACATGCAGTGACGTGTTGTAGAGTAGGTGCGCGTCTGCATGTACGTGAGGCATTTCATTTATACCTCACCATCATAGGTTCTGGTTTCACACTGACATCCAGCTTCTTGTTAAACTGCTACGATGGGTGCGGATTTGTTGCCATTGAATGTTGGCAATGCACGCCGAATCCGGTAAACATGAATAATGAATCAATAACTTGGGTGCCATATAAGTACGTGGGAGGTGCACCGGGGTGTAGTGCATGGTCTCAAAATGATGACACGTAGTTATGATGCGCGTGTATTTTCATGCATTGCGTCTTTATGGCATATTATTCACATATATTGTGTTACATTATAATGGCATTATATTATATTATGTTGGCGGTGCCTGTGTGCCATGTTTGTGTTTGTGTGTGAGGGAAGGATGGAAGACGGGAGAGGAAGGGCCGTTAATGCACGGTCCGGGAAATAATAGATTGTACACGATTGTGCAAATTGGTGTGGTACAATCATGTGTGGCATAGTAGCTTCTAACGGTCTAACCTATAAATGCGATTACAGTTGTACTGCCCCCACACTGTCAGGTCGCAAGTGGTTTACAGTGCATGCGCTTGGACACGTGCTGCATATAAAACAAGAGTTGTTGAAGCGTGCTAGTGAGATGCGTGTACTGTGCTTCAATATTAGCATGTATTGAAACGGCAGGAGTTTGGCTCTTCAGTGGGATTTGCTCTCAATCACATGTCAAACCATAGCGACTGCATGCGTGTGCGTGCGTGGATCGTGTATGCCGGATTTACAGACACACGTAAACTAGCTACACTATGTCAGTGGCTGTATCCGATTGAGTAGATGACAGACTGTAGTTAGTAGCCTACCGATTGAATTTGCAGCTATGTGAAACTGAGTAGCTCGGCCATCCTACCTTCGTGAGTATAGTAGTCAGGGTTTTGCATAATATGACTTGTAACCGCTCTGCACAGAGTAATCTTGACGGGACAGACGGCAGACCTCGCGTAGTCGGGTAGCGCACAGCTGCATAATATTTACCAGCAGATCGGCGGCAGTACTAGCGGCTTTCTACGGAAACCTGTGCAGCATGAGACTGAGTAGATGACTGATCAGACGCGGCCTTATGATAATGCTGTACTCCTGCTGTAGCCGAGTGGACGGACAGCACGGGAGCTTTCTTGTCTTTAGCTTTTTTTCTGATATGTAGTGAGCTCCCTGTCATTATGTTATTATATGTTTGTAGCAGTGGGGGCAGGGTGTGGGCTAGAGCAGCGACTTAGGGGTAAGTGTCATGGGCTATGACGAGTGTATCACTTAGTTGCTGTATCCGTAGAGATAACGAGAGATTAGAGCTGCCTTGTATGATCATGCATGCTGCTGATGCTTCGTGATGTGCTCTTGTGCGTACGTGCGTGCCTGTGTGCGTCATTTCTATGTAGATGACTTCATGTAGCGCATAAATTATTAATGTAATTGCATTCATTTCCCCTATTATGTTCTCGTGGTGGTTCTTGATGGTATTGCGGTGATGCTCTTGTGTTCAAATTTAGCTTTAATTTAAAAAAATTATTTTGACGACTCGTTACATTTTGAAAGAAACATCTTCTTGTAAACCACGCTATGAAATAATAACGTTCCGTGCCTAACGTAATATTTTGGCATCGTGATCGCTTGACTTCAATAGACCGTCGGTATTATACACTGTTCTCGGCGCTGTTATTTTGATACCAGCTGCTTCGGCCACTTTGTGGGTGCCTAGATGCGAGTCGCTGCAACGCAGACGCAGTGCACACTACTCCGCTGGCCACACTCACACTCACAGCGCGAGACGGTGCATCTGGCGTACGGCTGTGCAGAAACAGGCAGTACGGTTGTAAAAAAACTACGCCCGATCGGAGGAGCGCCTTTGGATCTGACACCTCTCGTGTATCCGTGCACGGTGCTGTCCGAATTGTTCCAGTTTTTGCCCTAGTGCGGCTGCCGAGTTTAAATGACATCAGTGCTGCTGCGTGAAGATGCAAGGGCGCGTGACTACAGCACGCTATGTAGGGTAGCAAGACAAAGTGTCAGGATAAAAAAAAATGCATTCGGACAAAACGTCAGGAAACCGCATGCTAATTTTCACAGCGCCAGACAGTGCTAGCTTTGCGTAGTATTCATTGAAAGCGTTAGGAAGAAAGATGGAAGGAGAGAGAAGGCAGAGGTGAGAAAGCAGAGGCAATGAGAGGACGAAAATGAATACCAGGTTATCTCCTATTACGTCTGCTGCCTTATTAGTTTCCTCTTCTCACATGCTCCCTTCTGTCGTGCCCCCTTGTTGTTTGGTTCCTTCAGCTAGTCTCTTTGCTGTCCTTGCCTAAGCCACAGGCTTAGCACTTCATTCTGCTCAACCCTTCCTTTCTCTTCTGCCCCTTCTCTCATCTTCAGTATCAATACCCTCCTGACCTCCTCACATCTGTTTTCTCTAATTACTTTCTCTGTGTCTTCCTTCTTTCTGTGCCCCTTTCTTACCTTTGTCAGTGTCCTCCTCGTCACCTTAAATCTCTGCTCGTTGGCTCCCCTAAACCCTTTCCACTTCACCTTTCCCCGGTCGTTCATATTCCGTCTCAGCATCATATTTAGGTAATATGTCCTATGCTGGGAAAAATATTGTAACATACTACTTGTGTTTCGCCACCTAACCACCATTTTGACATTTTTAACGAGTGAGGATATATAGGTATCTAATCTCTACACATTCACAACATCTTAGGGGGGTGTTAATTATCCCCACGTCCTGCAAAAGTGGAATTACCCCGTGTTCAGTCATCGTCTGCCATTACAGTAGCGCTTCATTTCCTGCTGTAATGACATCAGTATTCATCGCGTAGCATCCACCTATACGATCCCCGGGCATTTACGGTGCGGTGGGAGTGGGTGGGTGGGGGGCGGGGGTGTCGGAGCGTGTTCCTGCTTCACGTCGAAACAACATGTTTACAGTATTACTCCGATCGAAGGTGAATCCGTAGTATCATGACCAGGGGCGTAAATCCCGGGGGGGATGCATCCCCCCGCTCTTAAAGGAGGGGGGGATGGCCTGTACAAATATCTCCCCTTGAGATTCAAAAAAAAAGAGGAAAAAAAGAAAAAGAATAGCCAAAAAGTCTATGGTTGCAAACATACAAAAACACGTGAAATTGTGAGAAATTGCAATTCTTACCTGTGTTTTAATACATGTATTAGTACTATAGTAACTGTGTACGCTCTCTGAAAAGTCATGAAAAGTGTTTTGAATCCTAACTTGTAGGGTTGAGTCTAGGGTTGAGATAGTGGCATCAGACATGAGAATATGGGCCACAGTATGCCTCAGATTGCAGGAAAATGGCTTAAATATTTCAAAATTTTCTGGGGGGCTATGCCCCAGACCCCCCTAGCACTGGCGTGCCTGCGGCAGCCAAAGTTAATTTCGCCCCCGGCTATCGCCGATCGTCGCCCCCACTCCTCGGTACGGATTTACGCCCCTGATCATGACATTACCGGCTTATATAATATACTGTCTTCGTCGCCCGCTCGCTTCGCTCTCGCATGTCATACGTGTCATACGTCAGTCTGTTGCGTACGTACCAACAACAAAGATACATCGGAAAGGAGTCGTTTGCAGAAAACCTGCTAGTCCAGATGGTCGTAGAGAGACTTGGAGGGATTCGTTGTGAGGTGGACACGTTATAGTGGACATTGCACCGCACGACAGGCGTAACCTGAACGATCCCGAGCTTGTCCATCACATACAGTTTAAATTTGCTGCAGATTGCGTGCGTACTTGCGAGTGTGTGTGCGTACGTTCTTGCTTACGCGTGTGTGCGTGCGTGTGCGTGCGTGCGTAATCCTTGTGCTTCTGTAGACGTTATTCCCTAGCCCACGGGGCGTAGCTATACGTATATATATATATATCTATATGGCGCGTAGAGACAGTGAGCAGGAATTGTGCACATGGGACTATTGGCTACATGCAGCTGTGGAGATCAATAACAACTATGTACTTAGAAAGTAATCTGGCCTTCAGCACTACCATAATGCTGCAGTGCATGTCTACTGTTCAATAGCAGCCGTCTGTAGTATTGCTATGCAATCAGGTTACGGCTCTTCTCTGCGATTGTTAATGTAGAGCCTATGGACAGTTGTGAATGTGAGTGGGTGGGAGAGCGTGTGTAAATTAACAGTATTACTGTAATGGTTGTTTCAAGGTCTGTCCAGCCACTGGCAAACGCTTGTACATGTACGTGCATCATAGACACGCGCCTCGACATACGCGTAGACACTAAACCGGCGGTATTTTCGGAAGTCTGCAGGGTTTTTAGAAATCATTATTTTTATCGTGTTGGTCCTTTCATCGTGGCCTGCGTAGATTGATCTGATAACACAGCAGGCTTTGAGGGAGTTTACATTGACATTGATAACGTTTCTAAGAATTTCTAGTTTGATTTGATTTGAGCTGAACCGATGCCGTGCTAAAACACATGCAGACACGCACGCATGCACATGCACGCACTTTTGTAGAGACGCGTGTGTACGCACGGCTGCCAAGAACACGTACTCGCGCACGCACGCACGCACGTACTCGCGCACGCACGCACGCGAGCGTACTGGTGCATGACACATTTGTACTGTACAGTCAGAGTGCCAGGTGATCTCGTATAATAGTGTGCTGCTGAACTGCGTGAAAATTAGCACTAGGCTAGCAGTGTGCGTGATATCACAAAATCGGTATATTTATATTGGGTAACAAATTTGTGTGAGCATGTAGCGTGAATGACGCTCGAACGTGGATAAGTTGTGTTAGTGAAGAGTATGGATTATAGTATAGGTTGTCGCACCAAACCTGAGAACCCGCGGATATCAGAAAAATGCCAAGGTTCGCGTCTGGTGTCCCACCAACAGTCAATGAACCTGCAAACAGACATAAGCTCGTACTGCACATGGATACAGCTAACAAGGGAGTATACACCCGGACGTACGCACGCACTCATGCACGCACGCACTCGCCTGGCCTGTAGTCATTCACTAATTGATGAGTGGAAGGCCTGTATGGCTGATGATATGTATTAAGTTGAAACTTTTGCTATGTTTCATGTAGCTTCTACTCTTTATTTCGTAATTCACTAGCAAACCACCATATCAGTATGCTGCCATTGAATGCCTCCTTTGTGGATCTGTGCTCCATGAGTAATGAGCACCAAATTTGATACAGAGAAATGCAAAAATGGAGGCTGCAGTGAGACTGCACATACTAATCAGTGTTAAGTGAGCGAAAGTCATACTAAGGTCAAGCAATAGCTTTCATGTGCAAACACTTACGTCTGTAAGAGTGCAACTGTTTATCAGTGTAGGGAGGGGAACATCTAGATAATGCTAAACGAGAACATGATGAGTTTAGATTGCTTTGTTATCTGTTTCATCGATTATTTTGCTCTCACTTGGTTTTATATATTGCAAGTTTGGGTTAGATATAGCAGGGTTTGACATAAAGGGAAGATGTGGGTTACTTATTAATGTATTTTTCCATATTGAATTCCATTTGAATGTATATTTAGACTTGCTTTTGCTGATATTTGAGTAGCAACATTCAAATCGTGTTTTCCAGAGTTTATTAATAAAATTAATTCTGGTAGTCTAACAAGGTCAAACACCATGCACAGCAGTACGTGTGCATTTAATTAATAGATCTTGTGAACCAGTTCTTAGTTGACCAGTATATTTGAATGCAGCGAGAAGAGATCAATCAGCATTCTGTGCTATGAATATTGAGTATTTTGTGATTATAGAACTTTATCAGTTCATTAATAATTTTCGGTAGTGAAACCAAAATGCTGGCTGTAAGCATATTGGTGTCATCAGCTGCATATATAATGGCATGACCTTGATTCATTGGTGAAAGTTCAAACTGTTGATATTGAGTGTCAGCACAGTTGTCAAACATTATTTCGTTTACTATGATGCATGACAAGAAGAATTAGGTATCATCTATTCTTTATATGATGTTGGTTTTGTGTCACTTTCAGGATTCAGAAGGAGCTCGCAGAAATCACACTTGACCCACCTCCCAACTGCAGGTAAGTGTAGCGGCTATGTATGACTCAGCCGGTTACAATGCCGTGACCGTGTTAAGATCCTCGCCGTAAACACGGGTAGACAGAGTTAAACATAGTGTAGACATGAATTGTAAATGCTGGTCTGAACGATCACGAGTGTTATCAGAGGTGCGTGACAGAACAGAAGTGTGCTACACTGGTAGCATTGTATGCAGGGCTGTACAAAAGCATATAGAGTGGTTGGTGGTGGAGCAAATGCTCTCCCAATGAATTTGGAATAGCTTATTCTATAGCAAAAAAAAAGATACCGAGTGAATGCATAAATAATCTCTAGAGAGTAGCTAATTTTTCCTTTGCCCATCACATTAGTACTGCCCTATTATTGTTACACAGTCTCATATATATATATATATATATATATAT